GAAAGAGGTGACAAGCCCCCTACTGACTGAAATGCATTCAGAGAAAGAAAGGCAGAGATCTTTCTTTCCCAACCCTGTAAGCTTGCTCCAGGGCCAAGGTGGGGCTGTGGGGCTAGGGGACTGGGCAACCCTGTCTGCACACATGCAGGTGTCTCCCAGCCTAGGCTGTGTTCTGACACAGTAGGCACAGTCTAGTCATCACCCTGGGGCAGCCTCTAAGGCCCTGACTCCCAGGCAGCACTGTGGGGCTGCCCTGTAGCTTCTGGCCGGGCCTGCACCCTGGGCAGCAGGCACCTTGGAGCTGAGGATTTACTCCTTGCACTAACCCAAGGCTGGTGTGGGCAGGGGTCTGGGAGCACACTCCTGAATACAATTCACTAGCAGTGCAGTGATGAGCATGGCTGGCCTAGGATGGCCCGTGGGAGACTTCGCTTCGATGGAAATGGCTACAAATAAAACACCACTGATCCTGAAAAAAAATGTGTGGTTGGAGATGACCTGGGCAGTTAGGAGTTAGAGGGGTGAGGGGACTCCTGCCTGGCTCTGGGGGCTATGAAAGGGTGGGGTGCAGAGGGGGCCACAGGCATGGGGAGACCGCTCTCAGACTCGCAAAGAACCCCATGCTGCCCTTTAAACTTGCCATGAAGTCAAGGAGAACGGGGTGGGGTGGGGAGAGAGGCAGGGTTAATTTCGGGTTAAAGTTTAGTTTCATAATCCACGTTATAAAAATAAAGAAGTTGAACGGAGAAAACGACAACCAACAACACTCAAAAATCTCAAGAGTTTTCTTTTTTTTCTTTCCCCCACCCCAGGCACAGGTCGGACTGAGGCTCCTTTGTAATGATACCAAAAAGCACTCCAATTAAAAAAACAAACGGAACAGGAGGCAGCTGTGCACCCCACCCTGGGCCCACAGGGATTCAGGGACACTGGCCAGAGGGCGGGAGGAGCCTGTGGAGACTGGGCAGTGCAGGGGAAGCTGAGGGCGGGTGCTTGGCTCTCTGGACCTGCCTGCTAGTCTGCCGGCTTGCCAGCTCCCTGGCCCACTGTCCCTCAGAAGCCCCTTGAAAATTCCCTGGCCCTTCCAAACAAAATTCCAATGGATGATTCAGGGGAGTGGATCCTTTGTAGCTCAGAGGCAGTGCCAGTTTGCATGGAACGGATTTTTACTGACGTTTTCTAATGGGCCTCACTGTGCCAGTTTCTCATCACCGAGGGTTGGGTTTCTGGTGTTTGTTCTCTGGGCTTTTAACGCTCCATTTTCTGGTACCCACACCAGCACCCCAGCCCTGCCCCACCCCACCCTCCTCAGCACTTCCCTGGGTGCTCCAGTGCCCACGGGGGTGGGAGAGGGCTGCAGACATGCTCGCTCAGTTGAGGGAGGAGCAGGCAGGGCAGGAGCCCAGGAGGCAGCTCCCTGGAAGCCCAGTGCACAGAGAAGCCCTGTTCGCCAAGGAAGGCACAGAGCATTTTTGGTGGTGGGTGGGGAGGTGGAGGAAGGGTGGGACAAAAGGCCTTTCTGGGTCCTGGAGGTGTCCCAGGTCTGGCCTGACTCCACAGTACTGTCCAGAAGTGTTCCCACCTCACTAGAGAGGTTCTAGGCCTTTAGAAAGGTTGGGTTTTGGAGATGAGACTGGGGCCATCACATGAGAGAGAAAGCTCTGACTGTCTCGGCGACTGGAACCCAGGAGCCTGCTAAGACGAGAGTGTCTGAAGGCAGCTGAGGCTCCAGGGACGGCAGTTTTGACCCCTGAGGTCAAGGGCTGGCCCCACGTCTGGCTTTCAGGGCTCTGGGGGCTTAGCCATACCAGCAAGAGCCCCCCCTGCCAGGAGTGGCAGGGGTGCAAGGACAACCTAGCACTTTTCTGGCTGGGTCAGAGACCCAAGGAAGGGAGCCTGTAGAACCAGCGAAAGCTGAGGAGGGCAGTGAGCACAGGTGTCCTTGAAGCCAGCTGGCAGGTTGGGTGAAGGGGCGGGCCAAAGTCAAAGAAACTCAGCTTTCTTTTTTCCATGAAAGAATCATCATCTCCCTTTGGTCTGCAGTCCCCTGACTGTGACGGACCCCCGCCAAGAGCTGCCCTGGGTGGCCGGGCTTGGCCCCGCCTCCCTGTCCCCCACCCCCACCTCTGCCCCGGGCCGTGGTGAGAGTAGAGTTGGACAGATGCAGCCACACAGATCTGACAGGGCCTTTACCTTCCCCTGCACACTGGGGCATGCCTGGGAGCCGCCTGTCCCGGACACATTCCTACCTGATCCTCTCGCTGCAGCCACCGCCGCTGCTGCCACTGGTCCGTAAGCCGCTGCCGGGAAGCCTGGAAAGGAGAAGCACGAGTTAGAGTCAGGAAGGGATCCCCCGAAGAGCAGGGATGGGCCTTTCTCACAGGCTGTACACTCCAGCCCTCCACACAGACAGGCGGGGAAGGGATTTCACGGGGAAGCTTTTGGGAAGGACACGGATTAGTGGCTCTCAGGCTTCTGGAAGACATAGCATCTTTAGGTGTGCTCAATTCTCACATAGTTGTCACCCCAAAAACTGGTTCTAGAAGGCATAGCAGAATGATGTAAGAGTATTAGGAGGAATTTCCCTTAGAGCACAGGGCTGAGCTCCCTGCTGACCCTGCACTGATGCATGGCGATTTCCCGGGGGTTGTCCAGAGAAGGGCCACACATGACGGGGCTGGCCTACAGCTATGTGTGGGGCCCTCCCCTCGCCTTGCCCCTCAGCTCAGTGGTCAGTGCTGAAGGAGAGTTCTGGAGGGAGGCCTCTTGGCAGGTGGGCACCTCAGCCCGGAGACACTCAACTCCAGCTATTCTCCAAAGGCTTTGCAGGTTGGCTTGGCTGTCTTAAGTCAGGCTTCATTGAAACTGCAAGCTGGCGGCGTCACAGCCTTGGGCTCCAGAGTGAAGCATTTGAGGAGGCCCAGATGACCGTGGATGCATGGAGTCAGAGGTGAGGGGAGGGTGGGACTGCAGGGATCTATGTGGAGTGAGCCGTATGGCTGTGTTGGAGCTCTCTCAGTGTTCCAACCTCCAGAGGCAATTGTGGGGACAAAGATGTGCTTCTCTGTCTGAGCCCCACAGTCCAGATGAAGCCAGCATTGGAGGGCCTCCCAGGGGTCCCTGGAGTTCTTATTGATCAAGGTTAGTGCTAGCTAAGACCTCACCACATGGTAAGGCTGTCCCAGCAGTGAGAATACAAGCCAGGAGCTGTTAACCCCCTGTGGGGTGCAGAATGTCCAGAGGAAGGAAGAGGCAGCTCCAGTCCCTCCTCGGGCTTCTCCTGGCCACTAGTAAGTCCACGCACAGCCACACAAAGCGCTTAGACGAATGCGTGACAGTGAGCAAACTTAAATGAGAGGGACACGCAGACACTCCCTCACACACAAGCATCCTCTGCCCTCCAGGTGGACACTTGGAGGCCCGACCTCAAGACCCATTTCCCACAACTGTGCTTTTAAATGAGGTGCCAGAAGCCAGCCACAAATTCAACCACAGCTCTGACAGCTGCTCAACTTTAGCCACTGAGCATTTCAAATAAGGGATTTCTACAGGACGAGAGGGAGGAAGACATGCACCGGACAGGGCAGGGAGCAAGGGAGAGAAGAAAGGAGCGAGAATGAGGTCCCCAGACAGTGAACTAGAAGCCACTAAACTCTAAGACTATTGTCTTAGCTACGTGGTACTACTGAAGGAAAAGAAGCTCACGGGAGAACAAACTATTCTAAAAAGGCCAGGCTAAGCTACTTAAAATGTTAATGAAAAGAGACATACTTGCATTTAAATATGGTAATAGGGCTGTTGAAGGGGGAAAAAGAAAGATCCAGGTGAATATATGTACACGGTAGACCCTGGCGGCCCGACTGGGTCTCCCAGCTCCTGTGAAGACCATGCCGGTGGGCGCCTGGAGGCTGCTCCCTTCCAGGAACCCAGAGGGAGACCAAGCAAGGGACCCTCCCACCAACTGCTCTTCCCACATCTGAGCAGGAGCTAGATTTCTGAAGATGGGCGTGCTGGCGGAAATGGCTGAAGGAAAATAAGGAAGAGGTCAAGTAATTTCTCCTGGCCCCAATTCTCAGTGTTCATCGGCTCCCTACACATGGAGCTCAGGGCTCAGGAGGAAGGGGCTGGGGAAGGAAGGCCAAGTCATTCTTTCACACTCTCTTACCCACACCCGAAACGAAAGGTTTCCTTGGACTCACAGAAAAGGTTTTTTGGGTGGCAAAAGGTAGGAGGAACAGAATTGGGAGAGGGGAGCACTGTCAATAAAAAACTTGTTAAGAAAAGGTCTATTTTCTGGGGTTGGTTGAGTGCATTGTGGACAAAAAAGTGTGAGAGAAAGAGGAAGGAAAAAACTATCCAAGAAAGGAAATCCATGATCCTTAATCTCAGATAAAAGACCCTGCTGGAGAGTGAGCATCAGACATTGCTAAGGGCTGGGGTTAAATCTCAACCATCACAATGGACAAGAACCTAAACCAAATGACAGGTGTGGGGTGGAGCCCAGCAGGGTCCGACAGCGGACTCGCAGCCTATGCGGAGCGCCGAGGTCGCACCCCCACACTGCCTCTGTGCCCCTCCTGAGACACCAAGGCCACTTCCTCTGCTCTCTACGGTCCCCCTCCTGTTCTGGCCACCCCTCACCCCAGCTATGCTCTCAATATAACCTGGCGGATAGGGCCTGACAGTTTCCAGGGCCAGGGCTCTCCTCAGTGGTGGGGCTGGTGGGGCAAGCACAGCTACCAGAGAGGGTGTGTGGTGAGTGTTGGGTACACAGGTGTGTTTGTTATATGTGTGGGTGTTGTGTGAACGTGATTATGTGTGTTGTACACATGTGGGTGTTGGGTATACATGTGTTAGATATGTGTGTGCGTCAGTGTGTGTGTTGGATATACATGCCTGTGGGGTACATGTGTTGTATGTGTACGGGTAATGGGTATATACGTGCGGTGTGTGTTGCATATGTTGGATATACATGTATGTTGGGTGCACATGTTGTGCGTTGGTGTGTGTGCGTTGTGCGTATGTGGGTTTGTTGTGGATGTTGGATATATATACGTTATGTGTGTGTGTCAGTGTCTGTGTTGGGTATACATGTATGTTGGGTATATGTATGTGTTGCATGTATGTATGTGTGTGGAAACTGGGGCTGCCCTCTCCAGGGGTGCCAGAGAACAAAGCATCATGGAGGTCTGGGCCCAAAGTTGCCCTGAGGGAGGCGCAGTCTGTCTCCAGGACAGGCCTTCACAAGAGGGCAGGAGGGACGTGAGGACCAGGAACCCTCACCCCAGCAGGCCCTGGGGGAAACAACCCTCAGGGCTGGTCCTAGAAGGCTGGGAAAGCAGGGAAGAGGCCCCATGCACGGTCTCTTGGGGGCTCTGTTCCAGCATCTCTCCCCGGCTGGAGGAGGCAGGGGGTCACAGGGCAGGATAAACCAGGGGTCTGGGCTATAGGGGAGGGGAGTCTGCCCAGGTTGGGGTATTCAGGGGAAGACTTCAGGGAGGGAGGTCTCGTTGGCTCAGGGCATCTCATGGCTGATGCCCAGGAAGAACTGTGGCAGTGCTTCCCAGTCCAGGCGTGCTCATGGCCACCCTAGCACCCACCACACAGAGTGGGAGATGATCCATCCACCCTCTGCTGCCGGGAATGGGGGTAAGGGTCCCTCCACAACACGGCTTCCCAGTCAGAGTGTTAGGAGGCAACCAGGTCTTCCGTCCTGAGGCAAGTTAGCACAATAAATAGCTAAATTCACAGACTTAGAGCCTGTCTGGGTTCAAATCCTGGCTCGGAGACTTCCGAGGTATGTGACTCTGGCCACGTTGTTTACCTTCTCTGCGCCACATCTGTCCAGGGGATGCCATGTTAGTGTAGGATCAATACCCGCAAAGCGCTTAGATGAATGCGTGACAGTGAGCAAACTTAAATGAGAGGTAGCTGGCACTGCGGTGAAGCCCTGAGGTCTCGGTCCTGTAAGACAGGACCCTTCCCCTTGCAGGGTGTTCGCTTTCTCCATGGTCGAAGCTATGGTCACAGCTGTGGGGCCTGGAGTCCGTACTGACAACAGTGCAATGTAAGCCTTCATTATGTCTCAACTTCGTGACGTCATTTTCATGGAGCTAAATTTCCACAGATCAAAATTAGAACACACATTGCTTTTTAACAACGACAACGGTGCCAGGTGCTCTGACAGGGTGCTGGCGGCCCGACACCTCCCATATGCTGGCAGTAGATCTGGCTGCACGGAGAAAAACACTGCTGATCAAATCTCAGCCTGAGAGCTACAGGTTGGGTATCTGGTAACTTAGGGATCAGGAATGTAGTGTGTTCTTGTTTTGGAACCTTACATTCAAAAACAGGAAGGCTGGGTACAAAAGAATAAAGCACTAACGGTGGAATTCTGGGCATGTCGTCATGCAGAGCTGTCATTATTTATAGGGGTCAGATCTACAGACTCATTCTCGTTAGCCTGGAGTTCCTCTGCTCTTCAGGTGGGATAACAGAAGAAGCACTGGGCTTGGCACCAAAGGTCCACCCTGCTGTGTGATGTGGACATGGTGCTTCACTTCTCTGGGCCCCAAGCAGCTCTCTCCACTGCAAGGTTAGACACACTTCTCTGGGCCCCAAGCAGCTCTCTCCACTGCAAGGTTAGACAAAACCCCTTCACCTCAGACTTCGCATGAGCCTGTCTTGCTGTAAGAGGATCGCAAACTTCTGTCACAACTCAGATGAGTAACTTGTCTAAGTAAAACATGTCACCATCTTGCTGACAGAGAATGAGATAGTTGAGGGGGACCAGCAGATGGCATAATGGCTATGTTGCTGGACTACCATGTAGTCGACTGTGGTTCAAGTCCCGGACCCAGTGGCTTAAACACATGCCGGGTGCATGTGTGTGCGTGCCCAAGATCCCGAGAGGAGAATGGAGGAGAAGGGACTGCAGCGTGGCCATCCCCCCTGGGGAGTGATTTATCGCTTTCTGTCTCTCTGTCTTTCTGGCAAGTGCACGGGCCTTATAGCAAAAACCTCTCAAAAAAAAAAAAAAAAGAGACAGTTGGACATTTTTGGAGCTGGAATGCTTTATCGCAAATTGGAAGCCAATGGTGCCTCAAAGTTTGGCTTGGTTTGAGAATTATATGATACCACACACATACTTCTTACTGCATCTGCGGCACATACCAGTTTCTGCCTTACCTAAGCAAAGTTATTTTTAGGTGCATTTTCTATTTTTCTAGCTGGAAAACCAGTCTGTTTCAGGCAGGGATGCAGCCACATGCCCCATGCGGTGTCTATTCCAGAGTCTGCCCCACAGCAGATT